ACTTGGGGGGGGGGGAAGGGGGAGGATGTACAGGATTTTTTTTTCTCTCTGCTTTGCTGCAGTGTTTATTATATTGAGTTTGGCAGCAACTTTATCGCCAGTGCAGTTTTGCTAACCAAGCTAAATGTGTAGCACCAAATCTTTCTAAGGCAGAAAATCGAACTGTTCCCCCTGCTAAGTGTGCGTCTTCTCTATGGCACGCAGTTAATTTGACATTGGTGTGTTCTAAGCTCATTGGGAGATGCCTGAAATCGGTAAAACTGCAAGCTTGTTCAATCAATCATCCGCTTGCCTTCCTTTTGCTGTGTGGCTGTCATGATTTTTCACCCAGGCATGGTGCTGCTTTTATCTCCTTTTTCAGGTCCTGAAGTCTCAGGCTTACCTGCCATCAAGAGACCCCTTGGGACACTTCCTTATGGCAGTCGACCACTGTTTCTCTATTAAGGGTCAAGGCACGGTGATGACAGGGACTATTCTTTCTGGCTCTGTTAGCCTTGGTGACAATGTGGAGATTCCTGCCCTGAAGGTGAGTCTCTCATTTTCACTCCCCCTGGTTTTCCTGGTAGAAAGACACTCAACAAAGAGGAGAGTGTTCTCTTCCAATCTGAAATTATTCAATTATTTTCAATGTCTGTCTGTCTGTTCTTTGGTTTTTTTTTGTACTCTACTATAAGCCAGCTTATAATAGGAGGAGGCATAAAGATTTTTAAATAAGGCAGCCAGTAAAGTTACCTACTCAATTTTAGTTGAATGAAGAGGAGAGAAGACTGACCTAGATTAGTATGTTAGACATTCAAATTCAGAAAAGCAAGGCGGGCATGTTTCCAAGATAGGACATGCCCAAGGACTGAACAAGGTTTGAATGAGGTTACTTTCATTTGAGATGTTGTGCTGCAGTGAGAAGACTTGCAAAAGAATCTGACTAGGTAGGCTCCCTGAGATGTCTGGAAGTGAAGGAAAAGACAAGAAGAGGGCATTGAAATGCTTGATGCACATTCTCTTTGTTTGTTGGGGCTTTAATTGATGTCAGCGTGTTCTGGGAGAACTGCTGGGATGCAGTATGTGGCTTGCTGCTGTTGGGCTTTTTAGAGAGCCTGTAGAAAGTCAAGAGGCCTTTCAATGGCCTTTGAACTGCTTAACTGTTGTTACTGTTTTATTTCCTTAAAACATATTCATCCTTTAAAAGAAAACAAGGTGACTTATGCTTGGAGCACGTGAAGCCTATTTCACAGGTGCTGATTTGGACTGCTTTGACTTTCCCTTTGTATTAATTGCCCAAAATGACTCAAGACTTGAGGAGCGTTTTGCAGCTGCCGCTTAAAGTAGACCTGGCCTGTTGCATTCTGAGAGTAGGCAGCTTTTGGCTGAACAAGCCTTGATGGGACTCTTTTGGTGCTGTCAGTATTATCCTCAAGTCATGTTACTATAAGGACCTTGTTCTTTCATTGAGTGAACGTGCTGCTTTCTCATTTTTGCCTGTACTTTGTGGCAAGTGAAGGACTAAGTGAGGCATTCTGCTTTCACCTGAAATAGTTTGCTGATAGCTGACAATTAACTTTTGGTCAGCCTCTTCTGTAATATCTGTGACCATCTAGTTTATATCATATTGTCGTTTGCATAAGTGATTTGCATGATATGTACCCCATCATGTCTGCTTTCTCAGTGGAGTTCCTCACTACCCATATTCTCATTTGCAGCATGCAGCCCGTTCTGGGAGCCGTGCTTGTAATTCCTGCAGGGAATATGCTTTGCTGGGATTGTAGTTCTGGTTTCAACCTCTCTTCCTTTCCCCTTGCCAGAGTTCCTTCCCTCTTCTGTTGTGTCCTGCTTGTTGTCCTGGGCCTGCCTGCACAAGGGGTCCAAGGAGGGACAAGTAGTTAGGAGTGCAAGGCTGCTGAGTGCTGAGTGATGGCTCCTGCCCAACAGGGGCCGTGCATAGCGAAGTTACCTACTTCCCTTTTGGCACAGCACTGGCCAAACTTCCTGTCACTTTGCGCTCTGGGAGATGGGTGTGAGACAGAGCAGAGTAATTATTTCTTGCAAAGAAAGAATGCATAACTAGATTATATCTGTAAGTGACTGCTTAGCTCTTCATGTATAGTCCATTAATGTTTTGGAGAAATGTTTAGGAATTACAATCTTTCTTTGAGAATCTGTATGGAATATAATATTTCAGTTGGAAGGGACGTACAATGATTATCTAGTCCGACTGCCTGACTGTTTCAGGGCTGACCAAAAGTTGAAGCATGTTATTAAGGCCATTGTCCAAACGGTTCTTAAACACTGACAGGCATGGGGTATTGACCACCGCTCTAGGAAGCCTGTTCCAGTGTTTGACCACCCTCTTGGTAAAGAAGTGCTTTCTAATACCAAGTCTGAAAGGGGGAAACGACAAAAATGTTGTGAATAACTTGCATATTGCAAATGGGTGTTTAAGAGGAGAGTAGGGAAGACTTTAAGTGGGACTTTAAAAGATGCTTTCTTCCCAAGTGACTGGGGGAGCAGTGAAGTGAAAGGCAAGTTAGCAGATAAACAGGTCATTGACAAAGAGAAGCCAGATCACTTGACTTTTATGGCATTAACAACTTCCCTCAAAGTTTTAGTTATTTTCAATTACTGTTAAGGACTTAGTCTTTCCACTGCCTTGTGTGAAATAGAAGATGTGTCCATACCTCTGAGTGGTAATATGTAGTGAGCAGAGTTTTGCATTTGTTTTTTGCTACTAGCAGCTTGTGAATATTCATGTTCATATTGTACAGGTATGGAAACCAAGGCGCAGCAAAAGGAAGCAACTTTTGTAAGTTTGAGTTGTGTGTTGTACTTACCCCTGCTAGCATCATGCAGAGTTGGGTTAGGATACCTATAAAAGGTCAAACCTTTCTCAGGCCTACAAGGTAATGGAGGAAGCACATTTCACAACACATTGTGGTTTATGACTCTCTCTGACCTTTTTTTGCCCTGACCCTATGGTAACTGAGATTGACAGCTGGTGCCCACTGGGCATTTAGGGACATTACAAACCAGCTGCTTTTTAAATTTGAAGAACCCTCTCACCAAATGAAGTGGCATCACCTTCCAGTTCTACTAATGGACTTCGACATCTTTGACCGCTTGAACCTGCACAAAGGGAGGGACACAGCAACTAAAAATAAACAGTGACATTCTCAAATGCCCATGCTTGCTCTGATTGAGGCTGAGAGCACCAGCAGTGCATGGATTCCTTTATGCTGTTGCCTATGTAAATTGCCATCTGGGGTTGATTATCCATATAGCAAAAAGAAAAATTATATATATGTGTTTGGCAAAAAGCTTTGACACAGCAAACAGTTCAATATCCAATTGAGTTAGTACTATTTGCTCACTAGCACTTGAAATCCACCTTGAAGAGCATGAACCTAGGATTTCTGCAGCAAAAACGTAGTGTTGGCAGAATTCTGAATGTCCTTTAAGATTATTTCAGTGGTCTTTCAATCTCTACAGTTAGCCAGTTTATAAACTGTAACAACTTGTGACATTTTTATTTCTGCTTTATAAAAGTTCCTGGAGTTTGAATAGTAAGGATTTTTTCAATATAGATTAATTTTATTTTACTGATAAGTTTCGTGATAATGACCTCAAAATATTGATCTAAGTATATTTTGTTTAGTGAATTTAGTTTAGTGAGCATGACTGTCAAATTCTAGTGCTGCTGTGTCTTTTTGTAGCATGCTTTAATTGAAAAAGGAAAGTGTGTTTTTCGGTGGGGGAGAATTATCTTTGCCTTCTTTATCCAGGTGAAAAAAGTCATAGTAGCTTAAGAACAGCAGCAACTTAGAAGGCCGATGCAAAACAGGCGAGAACCAGGACTTTTGTTCTTATCATTGGTTGTCTCAAAACAAAAAAAATAATCCTTGTGTGAAATGTAATGCAAAATGTTATATGATATGTGGTCTTCCTTCTGCCCAGTGTTAGTGGTTCTAGCTTGGGATTGCACAGTTGCCAGCACATTAGAAATACTGGAAGATTGAGTAAAACAGATGATAATATGTTAATATTCCTTTAAAGATGTTTTGCAGCACAGAAAATGTTCCAGGTTGGTTAATAAGAATCACTCTCTCTGTCTTAAGAGTTGTGAAAGATCATAGAAGAGGTCAACTCTGAATTGAGTGAGGAGGCAGAGAGAGATGTACACAGTTAATGGATATAAATCTGGTCATCCTGAAAGTGTTGACTCGGCACTGCCTTGCCTGTGATCAAGTGCTGCAGGTGGATAGCAGCCACAAAGCATGTGTGTGGCAGCCAAGTACAAAGACCACTGTTGGTTTTTTTCAGGACTTGTAAGAAGTAGAAACTTTTCTTCTTGCTTCATATTCACATTCCTATCTGTTCTGTTTAATGTAGTTATTGACAAATGTTAGAGCAAGTTGATGCAAGCTGAATGGCTGGTGGATGTTAATAGCTTCACTGGAGCATATATAAAAGTGCAGTATGCTGCCAGTTTGTACTGTATTTTGTCAGAAGTTCGTCAGTGCCTTGAAGGCTGAGTAGCTGTGTTATTGGTAAACGGTTACGTTGATGTTTATCTGTAGGGGATCGTGGGGATTTTTGCTGTGTGCTGAAGCTGAATAATGTATCTGGTGTAATACAGTACAAAGTTATTTCTTTATGTAATAAATCATGTGGGACACCCAATCGTTGGACTGACCTTGGGAGGTGCCTCTTTAGACATTGTCAGGTTTTTGATCTGCTAGGTGTGGTTGAGCTGGAAGAGGAATGTTCGTAGCGGGTCCGACCTTCACCGTCCCCGAGGTTTGCAGTAGACAATTGCCATTACTAATGTTGAGCATTTCAATCTCAAAAGTTGCAAGTGTGTTTATGAAATGCTTCTCTAGTAGTTGGAGAATAGTCATCCAGGTGTTTCAGTACTCTGATATACTTTCAAGAGGTAACCTCATCACATCAAATATGAAAAAATGTGCGAAACTTACTTCTGTTTATCTAGTCAAGTCTCCTAGTATAAATGAGTGTGTCAGTTTAAACCAGTAGTGGATTCTCTTGGCAAGGGCCTATTTGCTGTCAAATTATATTGACTTTATGAACTTTTAAGAAGCATCATTTTGTAAGCGTGATACTGAAGAGCTTCATGGCTTCATATACTTCTGCCATATGAAGAGATTTTTTCTTTTAAGCTGCTTTGTTGGCTAGATAACCTTGGTCTGTTTTTTGCAAACATTCTGTAGTTTTTATGGCTCATCCAACAAAAAAATTCTCCACTATCTGATAGAATAACCCGAATAGTATTTGCAACACTATTTCCTTCAAACCACCGTAGCTATTCAAATCGTAACAGATATATCTGCTTTTCCCACATGAGTACTTCAGCCTATCTGATGTCCCAAGACCTCTGATTAGTGAGCTTTAGTATATAAATGTAGTAAGAACTAAATTCAGTGTATTTAAGGACTTTTTGCACAATTGTAGAGTTGCACAGCTAAGTCTTGTCAGAGAACATTTAAATCTTGGAAAACGAAGTTGGATCAAACCCTG